CGTCACTCCCCAGCACACCTGTATTTTGGTGAATACGACAAATACTCTCGGAATTGAAGCCCATCTCGAACAAAGATACCCTACCAATGTCATCCTTTCTCTCGTTTCCAATGTGGAGATCTCCCAGACGGGCCCCAGCGAGTTCGAACATCTAAGCTCGAGTGAGATTTACGTGGGCGCAACCAACAAATCTTCCTCCATCCCGACATCAGTCCAGAACGACATGGCGGCGGCATTGGCAATGACTTTGAACTCCGGTCAGGTCGACTGCAAGGTTTCCGATAATATCAGACAGGAGCAGTTCGACCGAATGATAGGGTGAGTTCCTTTCGATCCGCTCGAATCCAAACTTTGCATGCTAAACGTCTCCCAGCCCGATCGCGTTCCATCCCGCAAGTGTTTTGTTCGACACCCCAAACCATACACAACTCCTCGAAAAAACCGGTGTTCGTCCACTGATAATGGGCTTGATCGACGAGATGATGGAGCTGGCCTCTGCGCACGGTTGCTCATTCCCCAGCGATTTCCGGGATAAGACGGTCCAAAAAATGATTGCAATGGAACCCCCGACCACAATGTACTCAGATTTCCAGGGCCGACGCCCCATGGAGGTTGAGACTTTCCTAGGGTCACCAATCAAGTTGGCAATCGAGTCCAATGTTCGCGTTCCCCGGATTGAAACAATGTACGCAATGCTACATCACATCAATATCGCAAACCAGAACAAGTCCCGGCAAGAGTCACCCCCTGCATCGGTCATGGGTCAGCCGCCTCCCCGATTGTCTTCCGCACCCCCACAGCAGCGGCCTATGATGAATGGTGGCCCGCCATCTATGCGGGGAAGTCGAACACCCTCAAGCATGAGCATGGCCCCGCCACAAAGACGAGGCCCACCCCCTGGTATGATGCCAAGGGGCCCAGGCGGACCGATGCCGATGCCACCCTCCAACCGAGTTCAGCGCGACCCATCATTGGAGGGACTTGAGGAATTCAGCCATTTGGTTGTCTACGACGAGCAGGGCGAACCGAGTATACCGCATCAGAATGGAAATGGGTACCCCGAACCAGCACCTGGCCCTGCTTCAGAGTTGACATTGAGGGAGAGAGAGCTGGCTCTTCGCCAACGTGAGCTACAGCTGCGTGAACAGGAGATGAACATGCGCCGAGGTCCTCCGGGCCCAGGACGTCGTGGACCGGCTCCCTCCCGCCCTGCCACGGCCTTCGATGAAGAAGATGAGGATTACTTTGACCCGATGGATACCATGGCGATTCCTCACATCGACCCCGACAGTGTCGACATGATGAGCATGACTTCACGCCGAGGGCGCAAGGGCCCCAGCCACAGCCAGTTGCGTAAAAACCCAGAATTTGGTGTAAGCGCTGCTCCTTCTGGAGGCAGCCGCCCTTCCTCATCAGCCTTCAACCGCTACTTTGGCAGAAAACGCACGAGTGACCGTGTGATGCAAGAAATCCCGGGTCTCCATGATTCACTTATGGACAACCCCATGATGAGCTACTCCTCCAACAGATATGGAGCCGTTGACCGAAACCAGATGCACGCGGATTCTCGAGCCAATTCTTTAACGGCTAGCCACATGGGCGACTACCCACCTCGACCTTTTCCACAGAGCCGGCGAAACAGCCAGACTCCTATGACTCCATTCGGTGGACCCCCGGGACCCCCTGGCCCAGGAGGGCCCCGGATGGGTCGCCCTCCAATGCAAGGTCTTGGCCCCTCTGGTGGACCTAACAATGGCCAGCCATCACCTCCTGGTAACATGCGTACGCCGGTGCCGCGCTATCCTCAGGGACAAGGAAACGCGGCAGGGCCGCAGCAAGTTGAGCAACACTATGGGGTGAGCAACGCGTTCCCCGCTAAGGGCCTTCCTAAAAACCAGAATCTGACCGGAAGTGCGAGCGCCAGCGCGGGGAGTGGTGACAGTGGAGCAAGTGCAAATATTGATTCCGAACCCTCATCTCACAGTAGTCAGGTCAGCCTCGGCGGCCAGGGGGTCGCGGCGCCCGTTCGCTAAAAAATCCTTTGAAAAAAAATCCCGCTTTTCTCAACAGCTGACCGGCGTTCCATGATTGAATTCCCTTTTCGGCATTGCATTTTTCCTCGGCTTAGACAATCATCGTCCGCCGAAATTGGTCATGTTTGGACCTTTTTGCATCATGGTGTCATTGTGCTGGGACTTTATTCTTCGGTCCCGTGCTATTGAAGCACTGGTTAATACTCTGCTGTTCGCTTCTTTACATATACATGAGGGACATAGGGGTATTCGTTGCTCATCTTTTCATTTTTTTTTTTTGTTTCGGAGTGTGGTTGGGATAACGAGGTGCGCGTGCGAGTTTTGTCTTTTTTTGTGTGATTTTGCTCTGCATCGATACTCATCCTGTTTCGCGGCATTATCGATTTTTAATGAGGCCACTACGCGAGCCTAGACTGGGACATCCTTATCCTTGCTGTTTCTCTTCCTCCTACCTCCTTTTTTCATCTTTACAGCATGTCGATATAGCGTCGTCGTTGGCTCCCCTGCCCACCTTTTCATCTCTCTGCATGACTGTATACTATCAGCTGGCGCATTCCGTTTCCTCCCATCTAGACTCGTATACGCCTATTGTCTCCATTTTGTCTGTTCATCATCATTCGCTCCCCCGGGTATTTCCTTCATTTGCCGTGTCTTTTTCCTTGTCTCTCATTCGGCTTGGCTTGATGCAAATGGCCTCATCTTTGATTTTGTGGTTCGGTCTGGTCTTGGCGCTTCCAAAAGAGCGGGGATTGAATTTATTCGGTTCATTGAGTTGTGTCGTGATCTGCTTATGGGGTTCGCGCTTTGCTGGGAAAATTAATGAAGGGTGCACTGCAGTGTTCCGTTTCGCTGCATATTTTGAACAGCACTTTATTGTTCCAAGGAGCACACAAATTGATAGACCTTACCGTTATACCGTTGAGGTTGTTACAGCTTATTACCATCCAAGTACGTACTAGTTTAATGAATAAACAGGAGATATTCGAATGCCGTATAAAATGAAGTATATCTGTATCGACACGTGATTGCCTGATAGTAAACAATCCCGCGGATAACCAACACAACCTCAAAACAAAATCCAACCTTCACGCGAGCAAGACCATACCCAGAACCATATCTCCCACTTGAGCCAGTTTCCAAATTATAAACAAAATGCCACCCCCTCCAATCCACCGCCGCCAAGAATCTAACACCACCTACTCCCGCCCCTCTATCCTCCCAGGGAACGGCAACTACAACACAACAGCAACCCACACATTCAACGCAAACCCAAACACTACATACACCCCCAATTACAACTACAACGCCTCAACCCCTTCTATGTCCGCTGCTAAATCGCGGCAATATGCTCACCTCCATTCCCAGCTCGCACAGCTCAACGCCAACCTCGCCGACACGGAGAACCTACTCCGCATGACCGCCGTGCAGGCAGGGGACATGCGCTTCCTAGGCGGGTATTCTGCGGCGCTTTTTATGGCGTCTGCGAAAATCCTGGGAGAGGAAGGGGTCAAGGGAAATGCGGACAAGGAGAAGAAGGCTGGTTCCGAAGAGGGAGGAATCAAGAGGGAGGAGAGTGATGAGGATTGAATTGATGAATCATTATGATTGGGTATTGATTTGATATGATATGGTGAGTCGGATTGATCGTAGTTGTGATGCTTCATGGGCTGTCGGTAATAATTTCCATGACTTGGTGTGCTAACATATGTCCAATGTTCAACCCAACAGCAGAGATATGACTCCCTTTCTTCTTATGCTCTCTCTATCCAAATGAGGTGTTTTCTTACTCCACAACGAATTGACCACCGAGAATGATCGCTGGCTCATCGATGTTATGGTGTTCATAACTATTTCCAGTCATGTTAGCTGTGCTCCATATACTACGGCAGGTGGGTGATTTATCTCTGCCTAAAGGCCGAGCCAGCCTTACCTGAGTGTGCCTACACCACCAGCCTCGAGAATGAGTGTTGTCTCCGTCAACGGCTTTCCAGTCCAGCGCATGGCAAAAGCACGCAGAATATGGCCGTGCGCGACAACAAGAACATCGCCCTTGAGATTATCTGGGTTCTCAAAGCAGGGACGCTGGTATTTGTTCTTGATTTCATCGATCAGAGCGTCAAGGCGGCGAATGACATCCTCAGGGGATCTGCCAGGAGGGAAATGGATGTTAGCATGGAAAGACTACACCCGAACAATGTTCAACGAAGAAAATAATCACTTACTCTCCACCGGGACACCCATCGGTCCAAATATTCCACGGCCCCTCGCCTTTTTCAGCTCGCAGCTCACGGATCTGCTTACTCGTCAACCCCTCATAGTCCCCGTAATCCCACTCTCTCACCGCCTCCGTAACTTCAACCTCAGCCTCGGTCCGGATTGCCTCCTTGTTTTCGGGCTTCCCTTGTTCACCCCAAGGCATTCGTCCCCGGCAGCCAAGCTCGAGGAGCTCTAGGGTACGCTGGGCGCGGGCGCGGGGGGAGACAAAGCTAGAACGGCTTTGTTAGTTGCCTTCGGAGTGGAATAGTGGTCATCGGTGTCGACGAATTGTTTCTTACACATGAGCGAGCTTCCTGGGAACAACTAGTCTGTCGTTTCCGACGAGGGCTTTGCCTGTTGCTTGAATGCGCTTCTCTCCATTGGCTGTCAGTGGTAGATCGGTGACACCGGTGTGTCGACCATTAAGCGACCATTCAGTCTCGCCGTGGCGGATAATAAAGCATCGGGGAGCCATTATATATTATTTGAAATGGATCTAGTGAAAAGGAAAGAAGACGGAATGAAAAGAGAAATCCGGCACAGGTTCAGGTCTGGGTCTCTTTGCGTCATGGGTGGACCCCGATAACAGGCTTATCACCTTTTCTACCTCCAACCTCGGAAGATTGTCCATGTGCAACTATTCGGCTTTCAGTATATTAAACATTAGATTATCTTTTGATCTATTCCTAGCCCAGCAAGGATATCAACATATCACTGACAAGATACCTCAAAACTGTGGACTGTCTTCTTCCGTGAGATGGGTCTACACTTTGTAGTACTTCCAGTCTTGATCTCTTCGACCATCGAATGCCGTGAACACTTCTTATCCCTGAACAATTTCACCTTACAGCTCCGATCGATATTGACGTTGATGAGAGCCTCCGCACCTCCATTCTCGAGGTTGGTGCGGCAGCCCGAGGACCCCTGTCCCGTGTAGCTGACTGCAGTGCCAACGCAGTGCTTGTTGTGGAATAGGTCAAAGGTCCAGTTGTGTTTTTGGGCTTGGAGTTCTTCGGGAGGATGTGAGGTAGGGTGGCCAGCTATGGTTGCTGGGAGGAGGAGAGTTAGGGTAAGAAGGGATTGTTGGATCAGCTTCATTTTGGTTTGATGGGTTGATTGCTTTTTCTTTCTTTCTTTTTCAATGGGAGATTGAGCTAGATATAGTTCCTTCTCAGCATTGTGTAGTGATGACTGCCGTCCTAGGTCTTACCGCGGGTTGACGCGCACATGCAGTTCGTACTATGGGAATACACCTGTATGGGCGACGGATCGGACCACTACGACAAAACTAATTTTTGGCTCACCGCTCTAATCACCGCCTATATGATTATGGTCTTGGGCCTGTATGTAATATTGCAACCTCTTTACATTCACCTCTAGTATATGTCTATCAATTAACCTTGAACCTTTTAAAGAGTAGATTACCTCTCTCTATAATGGCAGTACGATATTTGAGAGAGGAGAGTGTACTATGTAAAGAATACGTGTACTTTGGAAAATATCAATTTGCGTAAGGAGGAGAAGATGGTGGTATACGGGGAGGTCATATGACCTGGAATAATCTACTAGGTATAAAATAGTCTTGGTATTCATAAAATTGCTTAGTCATCGATGCTATAAGGTTCTAGTTATTCCTCTGTCTTAATGCCCTATACCAGAATTCACCGCCTTTTAGAATTCTACTAGTTCTACCGATTTGAAACTCCTAGTCGGCAGTATATTTAATAGGAAGGCGGTCCAGGAAGACATTTTCCTCCCGAAACAATACTTACTTACTCAGGTATACTTACTTGTCAGCTTCTAATAGTCGTAATTAGTTTGAAATTTATAACTCTTTTAGAGAGGGGCATTTTAATTAATTAGACCTTTAAATTTGAACTTAATGCGACCGTTGGAAAGTGAGTAATTAGAGAAAATATAAATTGCTGTATACTCATTACAGCTGTGGAACAGCGTATGGCTAGCTGACTAATTTTCTGCTCGGCAGAAAATTAGTTTTGTCGTAGTGGTCCGATCCGTCGCCCATACACCTGATCTACCTATCAATTTGTCTTACAGGATATTTTGCATACATCCAATTTCTCTATCTGCAACTTGGCCAAATGCTAGCCTCTGTCGCTTGTTATAACCCATGTCGATCAAGGCTATGTTGACCAGGCTAGGAACAGTATAAACCACTCAGCCCTCTCTCTGACCTTCGATCCAATGCTTCTAGAGAGGGAGTCCACCGCCTTTCTCTCCGCCTTGTTTACACTCTTTCAAGTGAGCCGAGTTGTCCAATATTCTGCCAGGCAAATATCCATGCCACCATGTCGCTTCCACACAATATTCTTTGATACACCATCATTCAATGAAACCGTGGACAGCAAATTCCTTGACCCAAACGAGCCCTTGGGGGACCCATCCAGCCCCCGAGAGAGCAGTTCACTGAAACTGTCGGCCATATTTGGTCATCTAAAACGTTAATATGGAACGCCGACTCACCTCTAGAAATGTGAGCCTGGACTGGGTTGAGCGAGGTGATCAAGCCGGGGATATTGTCTCAGTACATCTCATTCAAAACACATATGCCCGGCTGAAAGCCCAGTATGCAGAAAAGTTGCGCCAGAATTGGGTTGAACAACTTGAGTCACCCAACCAAGCCCTTGAGCAGCTGTCTCTCGCTGCGTGCCTAATTGAACTGTGGAGGAGCATGTACGGCGCTATACCAACAACAGAACAAGAGCAGCTATTGGAAAACACAGCGCCGTTCCCAGGATTCGTGGACCTGGCTTGTGGGAATGGTATCCTTGTATACGTGCTTCTCATGGAAGGATACAATGGCTTAGGCTTTGACGCTTGCCGTCGGAAGTCCTGGGAAACATTCCCATCAGAGATACAGGAATGTCTGGAAGAGAGAATCTTCATTCCTCGGCCTTTTGTGGATGTACTGGACTTGGAACAAATTGGAGCGGCGATACACACCGGCGATTTCCCGGATAATACATTCATCATCTCCGACCACGCAGATGAGCTCACAGTATGGACCCCTTTAATGGCCGCCCTATCAAATCCCTCATCGCCATTGCCTTTTTTTGTGGTTCCATGTTGTTCTCGTTCACTTGCTGGTTCGTCGTATCGATATCCCCCGCCAAAGGAGGGTGGTCCAATACAAAAGAGTGCGAATGGAAACCCTGTCGCAAGGAAAGTCGATGATAAGATCGAACAGAATCTACAGCCTGCATCTGGTGATTTGAGGGCACTTCGGGCAATCAAGATCGAAGAAAAGGCCGAGAGCGGGTTTCTGAATTCGATGATTGGATCCCTCGCTGCAAAAACAATGAGTCTTGCCGAGGAAATTAGTTTCGATGTTGAGAAGACATGGCTACGCACTCCGGGAGCGATTAACATGGCGCTGATTGGAGGTCGACAGCAGGTCACAAGCGAGTGGCTAAAGAACCCGGGGTCTATAGATTCTCTAACGAAAAGAAACCAAGAAGATGCTGTTCTGAAGAAGATTATGGAAGTGGTTGAGCGTGAGTGCTCCCGAGATGGTGGCATTCGGGTAGCTGCTAAGCTCTGGGTTGAACGGACGAAGAGTCTTCACCGGGGACAGGGGACAGTGCACCAAGCTTAATAAGATATTCAAATGAAGATGCCAATAGCATTCACAGATGACTGCTACCTACCTATCCTACCTTTCGTGATTCAAGTACATTTTTGGTAAACGCTCTAATAGCAGAAAACGAGCCCAATCCTCCTGGACGATATCCTGAAGGCAAGAGCACAAAGAATGTAGAGCACAGCAGCAACGCCCTAAAGCTAGCGTTCCAAGTCCAGAATGGCCGAAGTATTGATAACGAAAAGAAACCGTGTCACTAACCATCTTCAGAGAACCTCGAAGCTAACAACTGATTCTTCATAAGGCTGCCTCGGTGGTTAACGAGAGAAGGATAACTCCATATAGTAAATAACCCCGGGACGAAGCGCATGGGACAAGGTATATTAATAGCTTGCCAAGGAAGATCAGCAAGTACTTGGCTCCAACAGGAGGGCCCCTTTCAAGGAAAATGATAGGGACAAATGGCATTAATATGTCATCATATATGCTCTAGATCTATTCACACCTAAACAAAACATAAACATATAGTGAGGGGAATAGAGAAAGGAGTGTGCTAATGTACAATAATGTTACAGACCTCTTCAACTCCGTTGCTAAATGTTAGTTGAAGATCCAAATCACAACGCCTAGGCTCCCATTATAACGCAATCAAACCGTCAAGACATACTTGAATCACTACGTATCAGGCATCAGACTTCATATGATCTTCGGGGCAAGCGGCCTCTTTTCCACTGCTGCCACTTTCCGCACGAGCGTTGTTAGAGGCCGTGGCTGATGCTTGCATAGCAGCCTTGGAGTTGGCAGGTGTCGTTTTTGATGCAGCTTGAGCTGCAACCGCAGCCGCATTCTCCTTGAGGCGTCTCAGGCGTTCGGGTCGGCCCTCCCCTGGGAGACTTCCCCATACCGGTTCGATTGAATCGGCACGCCAGTTAGTCCGATTCCCACCGAGCGCGCTGCGCTTCGGGGAGAGCGGGGAGAAGGTGGAGCCTCCCACGCCGGATTCACCCCACATGCGGACGCGTTGAAGCTTGCGCAGTTTGGAGAGACCGTAGACACAGACGACACCAGTCAGAGCAAAGCAGAACACGGAGACAGCCCCAAAACCGAAATCCGATTCTTCAATGAAATTCTTCAAGTTCATGCCGTAGAGAGCGGAGAATAATGTTCCTGTTGCGAGGCCGAGTGTTCCAATGCTGAATTTGAGATCCATGAGCATGAGCGAGTTGCGGTTGGCATCAAGGATAGCCTTGACTCTGAGTTGTGTTAGAGGTGCTTTGCATATCATGAACGATTCAACTTACACTTCTTCCGTATTGCGAATACTCGTCACCAAGTTTCCACTGGCCTGAACAATCTCATCGCACACTTTGTGGTATGACTCCAGAAGCATTTCCACTTCTTGGTGGTCATCCTCTTCTCGCTCTTTGCCGACCGATCTCTCAGATAGGTACATTGCTGCTAAATCATCATCCGCCTCCAGCAAATCATCAATGGCATCTCGTACCAGGCGAGCTTTCTGCTCAAATGTACCCAGTTTCTTGGAGTAGATCAAGAGATGCCGGAGCTTATCTCGGTCAATGTCCTCCTCGAGTGCACGAAGAACCCGCACAACAGGATCTCTCACTCCATTAAACTCCTCTTCTAGGCCACTCGTGACACTAATGAGGACGGCTTCCAGCGCGCGAAACTCGTACGGCAGCGGTTGACTGGCACCCTGGGGTTGCCTTTGGCGGAGCTTTCCTTCTAAATCGTAGATGAACAGCGATTGCATGTATGAGTCTGTTGATCCATACGCGTCAAAAACGAGTACCCGGTCCGCTTTGATGAGGACGCGCAGATGCAATAGATTGATGAGAATTGCTCTAGGTCGTACCAGGATATGAGGGAGAGTCGACGAATCAATCTTACGTAGATCTCGGGGAAGAAGGCCATACTGAATCGTGATGCACCGGTTAGCAAATGTCAAACTCAGACTCGAGACCTTTTTACCAACCTTGGCAATCAGCTCCTGCTTCCGGAACTCTCCGTTAACGAGTGTAACGTCTCCATTGATATCAAACTCCGTGCATCGAATTCGCAGTTCATTTGACGCCTTAGCTGATATGCTGCGGCCAATATTAAACATCCCCTCCGTTCCCTCATCCATAAGCCCAGGGCCAGCCGGGCCTTGATCCTTGTGGTCGGAAGCTTTATGCCGCTTGAGGCCAAAAAGCCGTCGGAGAAAGGGTCGGCTTTTCGTTGATGCATGACGCGAGAATTTCAGCTGCGTAGGCACCAATGGCGGCGGCATTGTTGCTCTAGTGGAATTTGGTCTTCCATACTGAGTGCTGCATAGTGTGGTATCAAGTGTTGCGGGGCTATGAGTATTGAGACGCGTCCAGCTCGAGAATTGTCCTGTCGAGAAGCCTTTATCGCGGCTGGCAAGGCGCTTCGGATAAGCGCATGCTGATGGTACGGCTGAGAACCCAGACTGCGATCGTAGAAAGCGCAATAAAGAGGCAGAAGGCGCAGACAGCCTCGGAGACAGCATGTCTCTGAATTATCGACCGAGCTGTATCGCAAGTTCTCCCGATCAGATCAGATACGCATTTTTTCCGTTTCCCGGAACAATTTTGACCCGAGAATCAGAACTATAACTGGAAAACACTATTCCTCATATCTTGTACTATGAGAATTAGAATATTGATTCTATCTACGTACCAAATTACTATCAATTGGTCAAGTCAAATTACTTCCTTCTCGGCTCAGTGCCCAATCAACCATCACCCTTCTCCCTACTGCATTGATTCAAGTTTGCCTCAATCGCCTCATAGTTGTTGGGAATTTGGAGTTGGTTTGGCTGACTGATATGAGGCCAATAGGATCCAAAAGACGGAAGATAGAGCACAGAATTTCAACGGGCAAAGACCCAAGAGAGGGAGGATTATTACGGTGGTGTAACCTAAACTCCACTGGCCATAAACATGTGGAGGCCCCCGGTGTCATTGGACTAAGAAAGAGAATTTAAAACATATACTTCCTCGTACTGAGACTATCTCTCGCCACTGGATCTACCATGAAAGCTATATACAAAGTGCATTGCCCCTCTTTTGTTGACACTTGAAGCCAAACTTTTAGGCAAAACGCTGGACCAGGAAGCAGAATGCTCAATGCTCGCAAGAATGCGCAAAAGCCAATTGTATCTCGAAATACTTGAACAGTCACGAGTACTAACTGCTCACCAATCGTCGTCGTTGTCTTTCTCGTCATCTACCAACATAGTTAGCATATAGATCCGCCTTTCCGTGTTGGGATTGACTTACCACTTCCGCTGACTCTCTGTTTTCGCTTGTTGAGAGCATCTTGCAATGCGCCGGCCAAACCACCTTGAGGGGCGCCTCCTGCGTTGGAGCTTGTAGCTGATGACTCGTTAGCACCACCGGGTACCAAAGCTTTACTTCGATCTTTCTTTTCCGTATCCTTGACCTTGCGCAAGCCTGCGCCTCCGTGGCCGCCAGAAGCTCTGATGGACGCCAGCAGATCGCTGTGTCCACCGGCGGGCTTTGGCAAGGGTGGTGCAGCACCACCTCCAGGCGCCCCAGGAGGTGGAGGCGGCGGCGGTGGTCCACCTGGTGCCCCCGAAACAGGCGCCGGAGGAGGGGGAGGGGGCGGGGGGCCACCGGGTGCTGCAGAGCCAGGCGGCGGAGGTGGTGGAGGAATGCTAGGAGAATACGTAGGAGCCGAGGGCGGGGCCGGGGGAGGCGGTATTGGTCCTCTGGGTGGGGGAGGAGGAGCTGCCGCAGGAGAAGACGGTGCAGCTGGCACGGGTCGAGGCGCTGGGGGGGGTGGAAGTGGGGGTGAAATGGGGCCTCTGGCGGGTGGAGGAGGAGGCCCAGTTGTAATGCTCATGGGCGGCACTTTGGGGGGCAGTTGGGGTGGTGCTGCTGGGCTCGCCGTGCGAGGCGGCGGAGGAGGAGGTCCACCTGGTGCAGGGCTACGGCTGGGGGGTGCCGGTGGCGCAGACACCTTGCGATCACCAGAGAAAGGCGGTGGTACCCCAAATCGAGATTGACTCGATTGAATATATTGACTATCGTCCATCGGTGTCTTTGGTGGTCTTGGCGGCGGCGGAGGCCCAGCATTGACGTTCGAAGTTGCGCGTGGACGCCGCGGAGGCACAGGGCCAGCGGGCTCAGCGAATTTTCCTGCGTCTGCAAATGGAGGCGGCGCGTTGAATCTTCGCGCAGGCGGAGATGGCTCACGGGGGAGGGAAACCGGTTCCTCTGGTGCTTCAGAACGTGTTTTCCGTGATGGGGGCGGCGGCGGTGGTCCCCTTCTGCTTGTCGAGCTAGAACCCGTGTCTTGAGGACTGATCGTGGCTACTTTCGGAGCGGGAGGTGCAGAAGGTGGCGGTGGAGGAGCAGCCTTTGGTTTATTCTGATCCTCAGCAGGGACAGACTCAGCCGCTGCCGCCTGCTTCTGGTCAATCCAAGCTTTGATGAATTCGGAATTCTCAGCGATTTGGTCTTCGGTAATTCCCATCCCCTTAAGCTCATCCAGCAAACCTTTCCAAGAGGGGTCACTCGTATCAAATGGCAAATCCGGCTTAGCTGATGGTGTGATTGGGGACAGTGTCAGAGGTGGAGGAGCAATCTGTATTGAAGGCGCAGGTGCTGTCGGCGGTGGTGCACTGGGAGTTGGGCTCGAACGATGTAACAAGCTGCCAAACAAAGACCGTCCTACTTTCCCATTGGTAACAGGAGCAGGTCCCTGGCCTCGAGTAGATGCGAATGGAGTCTTAGTGGTCTCTTTACTTGCATGTTTCTCGCGCTCATGCACCTTCTTAATAAAGGTCTTGGCCTCCTTCTCGTCGACAAAGGACAGGCCGGCGGGACAGGCTTCGAGCTCGAATGTATGAAAGAAGGTTCGGTCCTGGTTGTAAGCGAAGTTGTCATAGATCTCCTGATCCCAGATCACGCCCCTGCCAGTGGGCTGCATGCAACAACGCATTGTCAGCACATCTACTCTTATCTCCAACAGCAGTATGGACCGCTTACCGAGACATCGACTATTTTAAGCCAAAAAGTCCTTCCCACGAGGTCATTGCAGAGGACAACAGCCCCTTGAATTCCGGTATATGTCCATTTCTGTCCATCCGGGTAGGCGACGTAGAGTCGCGCGACAGCTACGGCGAGGATCTTGTTGGCGGGTTTGGGGACATTCCGCTTAACAGTTTCCTTGTCGGCATCACTGAGGATGGAGGGCATGGTGAGTCGAGATGGTCCCCCACTAAATGGAGAGGGGAAAGGTGATAGTTCGAAGGGTGGTTACGTGAGTAGAGCACACATCCATGGATCCATGGATTGCAGCCGGGCGGGTATCTTCGAATGATGGAATAGCGCCAACACACCGACGGACACGGTAGTGGGGGAGGGGGGAGGGTACAGGGTTTCCTTATAATCGATTGATTAGATCCGAAGGCCGGGGTGTTAGAGAGGAGCCGACCGGCGGTTGCCTTAGAGAGTTGGAGAGGATGAACCGGAGGTGAGAAGGCGTAGGCGGGGCGCAATACACCGGAGTGACCTGGCCCTACCGCAACACCGCCATACCGGCACGTGGTACTTCTCTTGTACTATTCAAAGTGTGGCTACTTATATAATTGTTTGATAGTCTTTCTATTTGATATTTTGATGTTTCAAAAATACAAATTGATAGAACATTGCTGACATGATCTTCGTGAGTGACGAGGATAGCGGGATGCGGTTTAGCGTGCTCGTTTCAATGGTGTTCTATGTCATACAAGAAGGAACCATTTTAAAGATGAGCTAGTTAACTAAGTGAATATGCGGTGTGTCAATATGGCTGACCAGAAATAGGATGTACGCAGCATATTAAATGTATAGAAGACCTCGGGAATATTCTTTGGACTAGCAATACTTATCTATCTTGTTTTGACTATATATATCCAGTATCGGCTATGTTTGTTGCAATGAGGTTTGCATTTCAATCAAATCATAGCTACCAGTGCATGCCCCCTAAGTTATCCCCGGTACCCACTAAACATAGCCATCAAATCAAATCATATTGATATGTTGTTCTTTTCCCCTCATACGTGTCTAGGCAACTTCTATCATGCTATTTGTTGCAATTCGACCACCGACGTCATCCCTCCTGAGATCTATAAAATAGACATCCAACCGCCGTTCAACACTTGCTTCCTCGACTCACCATCACCAAGTTACAAGATTTATTTGTTCTATTTACCGGCGAACAAGAGCTAGTATTAGCTAGCGACTACTCAACAAGGAGCTCTTCTATATCTCCAAAATGCCGGTCATCCCCGAGTCGTCAGACTTCCCATCTGCTCCCGAAAAGGGAAGCAATGAGGCCGAGAAGAAACCAGAGAAACAAACCCAGAAAGCGACCGCGGCGGACTTCTTGTCAAAGGGACCTCAGATTCCAGACAGTAAGTTGGGAACCAGACCTATATAGGCTCGCGACTGACACTTTGTAGATATGCCTCCCAAGGCTTCGAAAGAGGAGCTCGAGGCACGCGCGAAGGAACTGAACGAGTCATCCAACTAAGAGACCCTTGGTCAAAATTTTTATTATCTATCTGTACTTCATTCAGTAGCAGTTTCTGGCATTCCAGGCAACTTGTCCTTGTCGAGTGTAACTATCTATAGCGGGGGTCATGACCCAAAACTAGCTCCAGCACCAACAAACGAAGAGTAGCTGCCTGAGACTTATGAAACAAACCAAATCACCAAAAAAATATACTATTTTTTATTTTTCTTTTCCTCAAAAAGGCTGCGTATACTTCCAAGCAACCTTGGAAGGACCTGAGGTCGTTCATCAATTCATTACGTCATACATCATAGCACCAGGACACGTGATCGCGCGACATCTCATTGACCAGAACCCTCATTCCTCAACGCGTTAGGAAGTGCTCCCAATGCCTCCAGAACGGTCCAATGTGCCGGTGAAGCTGTCTCTACCACTGGTAAGTATCCTATCAACTCGGCCCAGGCTTCCCGCTAACCCCCCATTAAGCAATACCAGCAAGAGCTCTTCACCGAACTACGCGCCGAAGATGAGCTAGTCATTCTTGCACGAGGCCTGGGGCTTCTACACCTGATATCAAACCTCCTCCACTTTTACGATGCGGCGGGAAACAACCTGGTCCTGGTGGTGGGTGCAGATGAACGCGAGAATGAGTGGATCGGAGAGGGTATGTGGATTGGTTTACATCCCAGGTCGGATGCTGGGGTTGGAAGCTGATGGATCCCGAACTCAGCATTGGCGGAGCAT